AACGAATGCTGATTTAATACATTTCCTCTGTTGGAAATTATAGGCTCTAAGTTATTTTCAGCAGTTTTTCCAAAGTGTTTGAATTCCACTTTTCGCACTTTTTTAAAATCTAAATCGAACCCTTCCCAGCAGTGTTTTATCAAATCTAAACTTGCTGTTATCAGCATAGTAACTTTACTTGAATTTGTTACCCCATTACTTCATTACAAACTCAGTAACTGTGGATTACCTTCCTGGTTACTTAAACTGGTTTCTCAGTTATTGAAAAAATAGACAAACTCCTGTATGTTATTATGGTGTATTTCTTTCGCCTATTATCATGCAGTCAGTTAGTTGTACTTCAGGGGTCAGTTTTGTGGTCTTTGTTTTAATATTTTTATAATTGATTTACGTGATGCAGTTAATCACTCCAAATGTATTCTTCTTGCTTACGACCTTAAAATCTATAGAACACATAGTTCACTTACTGACAGTTTTCTTCTATAGTCAGAAATTGATTATATACAGAAAAAGTGTTCAGCAAATTTCATGACGCCTAATTTCGGTAAATGCAGTCATCTTTTTTACCAGGAAGATGAACGTTCCGAATTCTCCGTACAGATTTGGAAATTTATTTATATTCGGAAGAGATTACATTAAAGATTTGGGTGTGCATATTCACTGCAAACTTCATCTTCATTGTCATGTCCAATATTCTGTTTTCACATGCGTTGGAATTACTAGGGCTAATTGCCACAATAACATCTTCTTCCATCTTAGACACCTGTGCTATATTTTGCTTTGCTCAGATCTAAGCTTGAATATGCTTCTGTTACTTCGAACTCTGTTACAAACCCTGACTCCATTAAACTTGAGCACATACAAAGAAAATTTGCAGTCCTTTGCCACCAGATTTTTCCAAAATATGGAATATCACTGTGACAATTTATTGGAAAGATTAAATTTGCTGACACTGCATAACAGGTGTCATCACTTTGATACTTCATTTTAATAAATGTTTTAGTGGAACTAAATGTTGCCCCTCTGCCTTGGCCTTCAGGTTCCTACATGGAACATTCATGACGTTAACATGTTCACTTGTTCTTCTAGTCACTGTCCTTCAGCTAGATGTGTTTCGACCGAATATGCAGTTTATAAACTTGCAGATATTTTTCATATTACTGTTGTTTGTGTCCGTGCTGACTCTGTAATTGGTCATTGGCTCTTGAGCTTACCATGTAAATAAATAAAGAACTAAATTACTATTACTATCCAATTCAAGGATCAGGCAAATAACCTGTTCCGACTTCTCTGATTCAAGTAGATTCTAAAGGGTTCTGATGATGGTGTATAAAACTCAGGATTTCTGGAAATATCAGAAACCGGCTCTGTTTCAAGTTTAAAGTGAGGGTGTGAGAAGCACCTGCTTTGTTGGGTCCACTAGCAGGACCTATCCTCAATTACTGACAACCCATATCAGTATAACTACTGTATTTCTACTTATGAATATGAGATCAGCGGTTGTCAAACAGATAAAAGGAAAATTTTGAATCAAAATTATGGCAATGAATGTACAGATAGAAAAGAGAGTGGAAAATAAATGCAGAAAACCAAGCCAACAAGCCAGATCGATGGACACCAATGCATAGAATTCAGTTGAAGATTCTTATGTTGTAAAAATATGTTTACCAACTGCTAGCACCATCTGTGGGACAAAGGTTGAAGATCAGAACTAATATAGTTCAGAGATCCATGAAAAAACTGTTAGGTCATACTGACCCTCTCTGCGAGTTGCTACCCTGATTGTTGATAAGGGAGATTCATATGGAAGAAATATTTGTACTGGGTTGGCTGACTTGATTCATTAATCTTGTCATATGGACCAATTCCATCTAGTTCATGTACGAGGGTTGGAACTTTAATAGTGGCAACTATTTATTTACAACTGATACAAAATAGATGCATATTTCAAAGTATTAATGTCCTTCAGTGTAGTCACCAGTATTGTGTACAACCCGTTGCCAGTGATGTGGAAGTCATACGATACCTTTAGCAGTGCCCGTTGTGTTGATAGTTTGAATGGAGGAGACTACTGCCTGAAGAATCTCTGGAACAGTTCTGAAGCGAATGCCATGAAGTGGTTCCTTCATCTTAGGAATCAAGTCGAAGTCACACGGGCTTAAGTCCGGGGAGTATGGTGGATGGTACAGTACTTCCCAGCCCCATCAATCGAACAAATCAGCCACAGCTTGCGCTACATGCGGCCAAGCATTGTCCTGCAAAATGATGGGTGGGTTCTGCAGAAAGTGTCGCCGCTTCTTTCTCAAAGCTGGTCGCAGGTTGTGTTCCAAAAATGAACAGTAATACCTCATCTGCTGTCAGGGATCACTCTCCAGTAACTCAGAAAGAGCATACACTTCTTCTTCACTGACACTAGGATGACCTGTCCAACACATGTCTGCCACATTTTGGCATCCCTTGTTAAATGGTTTCACCCACCTTGCCGCTGTTCTGTAAGGCAATGCAGATTCCCCGCGAGCCTCTTGAAGACCTTGATGACACTTGTCGTGCTGCACAGCCTCTGGCACTTTCAATCTTTATCCAACTCCGTTGTTCCTGTTTCGAACACATCGTGACAACACTGCATTAGACCACCAGCTAACACGAGGCTCTGTTCTTCTCATCACTGTGCATGTGCGTGATGTGGGAAGGGAGAGTCAATTTGCTCTGATGGAAGGTAGGTATGTAACTAACGTGTGGTATAAGTGACATTATTTGGTTACATTGCATGACGTCTCTACAGCAGTGTTGCCACTATTAAAGTTCCAACCCTCGTATACGCTCTTATTTTCAGTTTCCAAAATCCTAGCTTCATCCGATCTTACCTTATTCTTAGGCATGTTAGGCTAATTTTGATTCTCCCAGAAGACCCTCTTTGAGGTTGTGCCTATGCCACGCATCTAGCCATCTGCCGCTTTCATTTGAGTAGCTTCTGCCACATTCACAGGGAATGCTATATACACCTTGTGCCATCTGCTGCGGATCTCGTTCCAGTCTGGTTCTCATGGGTAGACTCATAATATTGTGTTAATTTTGAAGATGGTCCTATGGTATAATGTTTCCCAATATGTTTGAGAGTCAAGAAGGTTTCCCTCTTTATCCAGATCACTACTGCTACTCTTGGAATTAATAACTGTGTCAGTGAAACCTTGGGGATAACCACTGAGCCGAAGATCACATCTCAGGTTATCAGTTTCATTAATCAGATATTTTCATCCTTGGCATACAATGGAAGCTCTGTTATGTGGACTCTGGATAATTCCTCTTTTGGCATGCAGAAGATGGTTAGATTTGAAACTGGTGGGCCAGTGCTGTCACTTTTCTAATGACCAAAACATTATTTTTATCATTTATCATTTTTGTAAATGGGAGATAACAGAAAAATTTGCTATATGTATATATTTATACTGACATAGGTTGTCCAGTAATTGAAGTTTACTCTTTCTAATGTACCGAACAGAGAAGGTGTCTCACACCTCCTTACCTGAGGACAGAAACAGATGCAGTTTCCAGAGTGCTATGCTCTTTAGAATACAGGATGATGGACAAACAGAAAAAACAGCAATCATGAGTTCTGTAACCACTTCAGTTAAGCATATAAATGAATTTTTATTTCTTCTCACACTTTTACAAATTTTGACAAACTTTATACAACTTATTTGATTTGTCTCATTCTGGTCCGTCACACTATCAATTACAAAGTAGATAACTTTCAGTCCAGTATGACACACAGGTTTACAACACTTCAGTCCCTATTCGCCTTACATGTTTCGATTCAAAAGAATCAACTTCAGAGGCGCACCACTACGAGCAGGAAACACTGTCACATAAGATGTTTCCTGCTCATAGTGAAAGCTTTTGAATTGAAACATGTAAGGCGAATAGGGACTGAAGTGTTGTAAACCTGTGTGTCATACTGGACTGAAAGTTATCTACTTTATACAACTTACAACATTTCCATTGCCTGTACAAGGTTATTATCATATGTAAATTTCGTTTACTTTCATTCACTTTAAGATCCACATTTAAAAAAAAAATTGGCATACTGTGATTTACTCGGCATAACTTATTGTTTCTCTAACGGAAAAATATCTTGAATAAAACTTCCAGGTATATAAAGAGTGCTGTCTTCTGGGATGCCTTGCCATGTAGTCTAGCAGAAGTGGGCAATGTACTGCCTATATTCTCAGAGTCCAAGAGTAAGCCTTGCAAGCAAACAATAAGGAGAGTATTCTTTGACCATGAAGGAGCATGTCATAGCTCAGGCGGTTAGAAACCAACTTCCCACCATGGGGGCCCTGGTTTGATCCAAAGGTCAGGTCATGTGGACAAAATGGCACTGGAGCAGTTTTCCTCCTAGTACTTTAGTTTCCACTACCAATTCAAATTCCTCCAACTTCTCCATTTTCATTAATTGTAATATCATTGAAGCTATATACTCTCAATACTGATGTCATTAAATAACAAACTTAAAAGAAAAACTTAAACTTCCTCTGAAACATTTGTAAATTCTACCAGACAACATGGCATCAGATCCCAGGAGATACTCCTCTTCATAGTCATTCAAACTGTGCACATGTTAAGGTAAAAGAATACTTGTTATTCCAAGCATTGTCATGCAAAGCGTTGGCCAAGCTCCTGAGATCGCCCAGCCAGATACTGGAAGTGTACTCAGTTTACAAAGCATGACCTGTTTTCACATATACCTAGACAGCAGACAGTTCCATGAGTAATCAAAGCTCATGCTTTTGGACCTCCCTCCAAAGTAAACGACATTCACATCTTTGAACCACCCAGGTGTTCAACTTACAGGTTCTTAGGTAAAGTAGGAAGCTTGACCTTCAAAACTTTTCCATTTTTATGGATGGAACAGTTTGAACATGAAGCTCCTTGCTTCACCTAATGCCGTGTACCAACTAATGAGGTCTTCAGTTGGAGGTCTCTGTCCGTATTTGCATCAGGCATGTTCAACATCTGGCATGTGATGGAAAAGTGTGCACCAGTTGCCAAGAAGGAAGTGTTCTATGTGTGGCCATTTGGATTGGGTGCTTGGCTGTCAGGAGTTGTCTTCATCGACCGCCTCAACTCCAGCAAGGCACATGATCAGCTTAACCATGCCTCAAAACTCATGAAGACTGACAAGGTATGTCTGTTCTTAGTCAGTCAGTATGCATCAGGTTTGTCCAAAAATTGAAAATACTTAGATATTAATGAGTGACCAAAGTAGTGCTGCCAGCCTTACAGGATTACTTGTAAAAAAGAGACCCAAAGCCTATTCTTACAATTTGCCTCTGGTTACGAATCCAAAATTGTGCTTTCAACTTCTTTTTAAGCAAATATTTAAAATCAATATAAGGTCAGACTTTTGGTTTTGTTTTTACAAAGAAACTAAATAAGCTAAAATATTAACAAAGTGGACAGCATGACAGTAAAATTATAGTTACTTGTGTCAGCCATTAATAAATAGGGTCCAAGTAGATTGCAGAGGAAATATTTTTGGGCTGAAGATATATGAAGAGATACAAGAATGGAATAAATTATGCAACAAGGCATTTTATATTGTACTCCTTTGCTGGCATTGTTAAGTCAGTTGATTGCAGGTAATTTAGATAACAGGGCATGTTGCACAGATGGAAAAGAACCTAAAACGTGTGCCAGATTCCTGTGTGAAAGTTTTCCCTGAAAGAGGCAGAAAGAAAAATAAGGCTGGACTACCTGCAGCAGCAAATGTGGGAATGGCAGTGCTCATGTATGTATTCCTTCGTTCTCTCCTCTTAGAACATCACTATATGAGATCCTGTGGGATACCACTTATTGACACATTCAGAAATATTGAAGTAATTTGTAACCTATTGCAAAATACAGCACTTAGTAAGGATGTATATGTACAATATATCAATAGCTGAAATGGTCATAATGAGAAAAAATTTTCTGAATTTTACTGCTGCAACTGATGAGGCTGAAGTGAACAGCACATGTGCTGGATCACATCTGACATGACACCCCTACAACAGCATTTTGAGTAATTAATTTTCAGGCACCAAAATATGTTTTTGCACATCAGCCACAAGCTCTTGGTCATACTTTTTAACTTCTGGATGTTTAAAACTCTGGAAAAGAGACTGCTGGACATGAAGAAATAAGCTTTAAATGTTTATTGTGAGAACAATTTCCAAGGAAGTGAAGTGGACTGAATTGGCTCCGGAGTCTGATGTTAGGCAGCAGGTGGCCATATAGCATGGGTTCTGTAATAAGCAATAACTTGGTAGAAGAGTACTTAACAGAATGTTCAGGTTTCCCCTGCATCATAGACAGTCCAGTTGTTATCAACATCAAGGTATACATGCTGCCCACATCTCACTCTTTGTTGCCACAGTTGGTAATGGGCTATAACTGATGGTGTGAATGTATGATTCTTCAATACAGGAAACCCCTTAATATGAAGTTAAATTAAAGTAGAGCCATTTCTTGATTTACACCCATTTGATTTGTGTGATTTTGGTTTAATGTGATTGAAGAATCTAAACTGGGTCATTTTAGTTTTCACTCTAACATGATTTCATGATCAGTAACAGGCAACATGGCCAGTGACAGTGTGACATTGAAGACAGTGGAAATGGTGCATAGTGATGGTATAAAATCTGAAATAAAATATTGCTGAAAATAAAATAACTCTCTAAACAAAATGTTTTACATGATCATTTTCCTTCATTTTTCACGATTTATGCATTGTTAATGTACATGATTTTCTGGGACATGTCTACTACATAAATCAGGGAATGGCTGTATTCAGCAAAGGTACTGGTCACACCTCAGACAATAAAGTGACTTGATGCAGCATAGATGAACTCAGTTCAATTTATAGCAATGGTAAGGATTTTTCTCGTTGCTGTTGTGTTCACACAAGCACTGAACATCCCAGTCACCAAATGTCCGGTGTCTGGGACTCTTTCAACAAAAATAAAATGGTCTGAGTTTGAAGCAGACTACTCACTGGTCTATAGTGGCAAGGTGAAGAATGTGATGAGCTTCACTTCCAGTCCCTGTTTTATATGCTTAAGTAATTTTTAGAAACAGAGACCTCAGCCTTTACCTTTATAGAGTGTAAGTTTGTGTTAAATCTAATATTCGCAATTTTAATATACTTTGCTGAAAGAAATAGTGGCAGTGAGTAAATAAACAACACACAGAGTTCATATGGAGAGGTTAAATCTCAAGAAATTAGAAGTAGATGGTAAAGATAAGTATCATGTTGAAATCATAAATAGGTTCGCGGCTTTGGAAAACTTAAGACACTGAGGTGGATATTAATATAGCTTGGGAAACTATTAGTGAGCATATCAGAATTCCAGCCAAAGAGAATCTAGGTTTTTATGAATTGAAGAAGCAGGAGCCATGGTTCAATGAAGGATGCTCAGAATTATTAGACCAAAGGAAAGAAGCCAAACTGCACTTGTTGCAGGATCCAAGCGAAACAAATGGGGATATTATGAATATGTCGTGAAACCAGCAGGAATTTCAGGAATAAAAAGAGGGGATATCTGAAAGACAGAATTGATGAGCTTGCAGTGAAAAGACAGAACAAGAACAACACAGACCCGTATAGAGGAATGAATGACTTTAAGAAGGGTTACCAACCTAGAAGTAACTTAATGAAGAATGAGAACAGTGATCTGCTTGCAGATTCCCATGACATTTTGAATATGTGGAAGAAGCACTTCTCTCGGTTATGGAATCTACATAGTGTCAGTGATGTTTGGCAGATAGAAATACATACAGCTGAGCCATTAGTACATGATCCTAGCCCTTTTCACATTTAAGGTCCAGGAAACCCAGCTGGGACTGAAATTAAATGGGACACACAGGCTGCTGGTCTATGCTGATGATCAGGGCCCAGATTTTGATGAAATTTCATCTTTTTTCCTTGTATCCTATTCGATGCCTGTAAATATATAAAAAATCCCAGAGATGAGCTCCTGGTTACAGAAATGCAACTTTTATAGGTAATTTTTTTGTCATTTTTCGTCATTTTTAAGTTTTTAGGTCAGTGATTGAAATTAGCTCTTTCTAAGGGACCCAACTGAGTAAGTGTCTTCCTTTCTCGCCTGAAGAGTTTTTCTCAAATTCTGACAGGAGAGCCCTTCAGCACTTTCAGTATTGAATAAGAACTTATTGCTAGTGATTTGGTACACTTCAAGTATGCTCCCACTGTGTCTGCAGATGTGGAAAGGAGTTTCTCCAAGCACAAGAATGTGCTGTCGGACAGTAGGCGCTCGCTCACCTTCGAGAATCTCCACAGGTTAACTGTCATCTATTGCAACTCTGAATGAGGTGGCACTTAAATATTGGAATATATACCGTATATGTACATCTGATAAGCGTTCCAACACTGTAGAAAAAATCGTATTAAAACATTTAGCTTCAAATTCAATCATATATTGCTTAATTTTCAACATGAAAACGAGGAAGAACTTAAAAGAGTAATGATGAGTTCACAGTGTTAATAAAGATTAAAAATACATTTTAAAACAATTAGTAGATTTTCCATGACATTATACATTTTAGGTTGTTTTTTAACTTTTAGGTATTTTTCTGGATTTTCGGTCATTTTATAGGTAACTTTTTTGGATTTCTCGGTTATTTTTTAAATATTTTAGATCATCGAAATCTGGGCCCTGCTGATGGTACAATCTACTGGGTGAAAACGGATACCTTAAAGGAAAAACACAGAAACCTTACTTGAGGCTAGTAAGGAGTTTAGATCATCGAAATCTGGGCCCTGCTGATGGTACAATCTACTGGGTGAAAACGGATACCTTAAAGGAAAAACACAGAAACCTTACTTGAGGCTAGTAAGGAGTTTGGTGTGGAAGTAAACACAGAGAGAATTATTTTGAATTGTTTTTATTAACTTTGTAACAGAGAGAATTAAGTATATTTTGCTGTCTTGTCACCAGAATGCAGGGCACAATCATAACATAAAAGATAGCTAACAGATGTTTTGAAAATGTGGCACAGTTCAGATATTTTGGAACAACTATAACAAATCAAAACCTAATTCAGAAGGAAATTAAGAGGAGGTTGAACTCGGGTAATGCTTGCTACAATTCAGTCCAGAAGCTTTTGTCTTCTGGTCTGCTGTCCAAAAACATAAAAATTAGAATATACCAAAATATAATTTTGCCTGTGGTTCCATATTGGTGTGAAACTTGATCTCTGACATTAATGGAGGAATATAGACTGAGGGTGTTTGAGAACAGGGTGTTGAGGAGAATATTTGAACGAAAGAGAGATGAAGTGAGGGAAGATTTGAGAAAACTGCGTAATGAGGAGCAGGGCATGTAGCAGGAATGGAGAAGAAGAGGAATGCATATATGGTATTAGTGGGAAGACCAGAAGGAAGGATACCACTGGGATGTCCAAGACATAAGTGGGTGGACAATATTAAAATGGATCCTTGAGATAGGATGAGATGGTGTGGATTGGATTGATCTAGCCTGGACAGGGACCAGTGGAGGTAGTGAACCTTTGGGTGCCATAAAATGCTTAGAAGTTCTTGAGTAGCTTCTCAAGAAGGCCTCAGCTCCATGAATAAGAGAAAGAAATGTTATAATTAGTTTGATCTTTGTGAGATTTCATGCTTTCACAGCAGAGTACTGCCATGTGGGATCTGAGGCCATGTAGTCTCGTAGATGTTTGTCATTACTTTTGAGGAAAATACTGCCCCAGCCGCACCATAGCTCAAGCAGTTAGTCTCTGGTTTCCCACCGCAGCTGCCCAGGTTCAATCCCAGTCTGGTCAAGTGGAATTTGTGGTGGACAAAGTGGCGCTGGGGAAGAGTCTCTCCAAGTACTTCGGTTTCTCCTGCAAATCTTCATTCCACCATATTCTCCATCACCATAATCACCTGGGCAGGCACAATAGGCCAATCATTAGCCACCGTGCCGAGTGGACCCAGCTGGACTTCACCCCCCACTAAGCGAATTAAAAAAAAACATACTGCTCCAGCCTTCAGGACAGAAGCTGGAGACAGCATTGTTCCGTCGTGGCGCAGGGGGGCGTGGAGTTAGCCCGCCTCTGCCACCACTGTTATGCCGTAAGCACGGGGGGGCGCGGAGGTATCCCTCCTTGCTACCCCAGCTTACTCTGTAAGGAGTCAACACCATACTCCTAGCTCACCCTCAGCTAGGATTCTCCTGTTTTGGGGTGTCCTTCTCTCATAAAGCTGCCACCATCTGTCTTCTCTATTGTGGGAACTACCCCCTGGCATATAGTCATAGCCCCTTCTTGACAACTCCTCATATAGTCTTACAGGTAGTAAAGTATTACATTATTATTATATTTTAAGGGGCGTTGGTGTCGAGGCTACTAAACGCTGCCTGCTTGGCAGGAGCCTCTCCCTGTCCATTCCTAGTACCTCCCCTTCAACATTCAGCTGCTGTTGCCTCTCATTTTGGGTAGAATCTGCTGGGTGGGTCGAGGAAAGGTGATTATGAAGGGGCGAATCACAATTCCCTGCGTCCATCCTACTCTATCTACTCTGTCTATTTACACTCTTATATATACATGATTTACAATATTTACATTATTAACAAGGCCGACTTTCAGTCGGGTCTACATAGGCTTCACTTCACGCTACACTAGGAACCTCCCCCTTGGGGGTGTGAAACTGGAGTCTCTCTCTCTCTCTCTCTCTCTTCGACTATAGGCACTTATTAATCGTTCCATGGGATCCTGTTTCCCTACTGTTCATTAGATACGATTACACTATCCTTCGTAAAGTTCACTCTTAACATAATCTACCCTTAGTTATACATAATGAAACCCACATACTATATTTATCCTACACGCTAACCATAACCTTGTCACATACACTATAAAACCCTTATTGCCCGACTAACATCCTAGGCAATTACATGATTCTAGTATCCTCCCCTAAGGGCTCGCCAGGCACACTGGAGTTTGCACATTCAAATCACTCAACAACACTGTGATCAACAATACTATTAAACAACATGGCTGATATGAGTAAAGAAACTTACTTGTAGTACAAGATGCAGGCCCACTGCCTCCGCTCGTAAGGCCCATGTTGAAGAGAGCCTTCGGCTGACAACTCAATATTCTGTGTTAGATCAGAATCCCAAGTCTCTCGAAATTCCGTAATTTATAGTTTCAATTTGTTAATTCAGCTGTTGACGACAGAGGGTAGTTAACTCCTCCCTTGTGTTCTAAATTCCTAAAGTTATGTTCTAATTGGTTATTATCGGTGGTTGTGGGAGGGCCTATGGCGTCTCATCGCTGCGTAATTAATAACATCATTACCTTCAGTGGCCGAGTGAGGCAAGCTTCTTGCTAGGGCGATTACGCATGAATGCTGATCCTCAACATTCTTACCCTAGTTGCCTGTCCAGGTGTTGTCATCTTTGCTCTTTCACTGCAAAACACTTTTCGCAAGTCTCCAGACACTTAGGTAATGACTTAAATTCCCAATCCCAAATTTGAGACACTACAAGCATGTTCCTCTGAAATGCCCTTAAATATTTAGCAGACTGAATGCAATCACATTGCTGAAGATAATATTCAATTTGATTTTCTAATCTGAGACCTTCTCATCTACTACCAGACAAAATTGTGGTTGTTTCCTGAGGGCACGAGGAATTCTTCACGAACATCTCTTTTGCCATTTAAGAAGGGAGCATTTCGAGTTGCTATTACCTGCCAAGTGCCAATTCTTCCAGTGGTCTATTCACCCTACTACTTCATCAATGACAAGAAGAAAATCTTTGGCCCAGGTATGATTAATGTGAAGGAAGTGTATCAATGCTATATAGCATATGTAGTTGATAAAACATTAGAAAGGCCAATACACACATGAACTGAAGGTACATTCCAAGATCAAAATTATTCTAGCCTTTTGAGATTTGAGGTTCTTATAGCAATGGTCATGAAGTCATCATGTGTGATACCATGTAGAATGTGTTCCAAGCTGAAGATGGAGGCAGCGTGTCCTTTGAATCGCTGGTACCCGCCTACCAAAATATACTGTGTCATAACTTTGAAGACTGTAATCTCAGTATCCCCGAAGTGTGTTCTCATGTATATATCTCATGTAGAAATTAATCAAACAAAGAAAATATGGCACATTGAAATACATATTATTCATCTAGTGTCACTTCTTCTGCTGCCACTGCTGTTTGTGGTAGTGTGCTGTTATTTGCATAAATTTAAACATGTACTCTGAGGCAGAATGAATAAGTAGCTCTATACATAATGCCTGTAATGGAAGTAGGGGTTGGAGCCTAGTGCTGTCCAGAGGAAGGGATCTCACAGTTACTCCTGCTGTGAGATTCACATAATTAGCCATGCTGTGGCAGAGCATTCATGGTAATTGGTGTCAGTCTGGCTATCACTTAACATGTTATTTTTGTGGTTCAGTAGCATTGTTAACTAGTTCCTTCATGCTTACAATAACTGATTGTGGGCACTGTCAAGGTTACAAGAGATAAGATTTAGTATAGTGTTATATTTTAGCGTCCTGTTGCACTGATTTATGTCCATGATTTATTCCAGCCGTCTTACAGTGCATACACTCAACCACTTCACTCTTCACTCCCGCACTACATGCTTCGGCACAAAGGTGCCATCTTCAGGTGCTTTTTGATTTACGTTAAACTACTTCACTGCATGCCTTGCCGTCTTCATACTAAAATGAAGAATGAAGACGGCAAGGCATGCAGTGAAGTAGTTTAACGTAAATCAAAAAGCACCTGAAGATGGCACGTTTGTGCCAAAGCATGTAGTGCGGGAGTGAAGAGTGAAGTGGTTGAGTGTATGCACTGTAAGACGGCTGGAATAAATCATGGACAAGATTTAGTATAGGTTTGCGGGGAGGAGGAAGGCATGCAAGACATTCCAAATTCTCACCTCAACCAAACAAGGAATGTTAACACAATGGTTGCTTGCATGCTTGCAAGTAAAAGGCATAATAAAAAAGTTAAACTGAGAATCACTAACCATTTTCTTGTTCTATATTTTCTTCCTCTTTTATTCCTTAACTTCATCACACCTTAGCTCATATCTGCTTAGTTGTTTTGTACAATGTACGTGTATATACTCAATTGCCAATTTTTTGCCCTCACTGTGGGTCAGAATTTGTCTAACACTTCCAAAAAAGTCGCACTTCACCACTGGGTCTATGGCTTCTTCCTACCAGATAGCACTGAGCCCCAGTACCAACTGAAAAACCTGTATTGTGGCTGCATCCTTCCTCCACGCCATGGCACAGTGGTTCATGGCTAACGTGAATCATGATAATACTAGTTGATGTAGACTGTGTACTCAGTAGAAATATTATACTGTAGCGGCATATTGTGTGTAATATAAGGTTTATTATTATTCAGCTGACACAGTCCTGGTATAGACATGTCGTATGTTTGCAATCACTACACGTTTCCACCTATCATCACCAACATCAGGTCCATGCAACCTTTACAATCACCTTTATTTCTGTCTGCTATGCCTGTCTATGCTGGCCAGTGTTTACACATTGGGACAGGGTTGTACAAGTATTTTTTATGTAATGCCCTCATGTTAAGAAATGTATTAAATATTAACATCTAAATTCCTTACAAATATATACATTTTCTAATTGGAATTAAAATTAAGTTAGGAGTTAGAAGGTGTATATACTATATTGTCATGTATCTGGGATTGCATGACTATTAATACAGGTTATGGATTGATGACAGAATTTATTGGATCTTTATACAACTGGTTAGAGCAGTTCACAAATCACTATCTGACACACAGTCATTTTCTTCGACTGGACACACTCAACTTCTGACCACACTTCATTACTCCACTACTCCGTTGTACTCCTTTGTACTCCTTCAATTCTGATATACCAAGTCAAAGTGAAAGTCACATTGCAACTGATAGTCGGTCAGTCAGTCTTGGTGTCGAGCCAAACCTGGGGCACATGACCAGATATGTGTATTTATTACTGTTCAACAGTTACATTCTTGTTATTGTGGGGCACCCTCTCTGCCGAGAGGATGGGTTTGTCTTGTCGGAGTCATTGTCTGCGGTAGTAAGTAATTTGTCACAATGTAAAGGATATTTACGTTTTACATGTTAAACATGTTAATAAATGTATATCAAATATATACAGGGCCTTTGTGAGTCCAGACTCAGTACAGTAGATTATGCCATATTTCTAGTAGCTTCTGCTATAACGGCAGATGAGTCTGTCATTAGCATATGCTGCTCCCACTCTGTTCTGTACTACTTATATAGCCTGGGGGCGGATCAATAGAAAACACGTTCATTTCCTAGCAATTGACGTCTACAGTTGTCCAGAACTTGCGTATGCCTGTCTGTTACCTAGCAATGGATGTCTTTCTATTGTTGAGAGCTTGTGTCAACGGAAACGTGTTTGCTGACTCATTCCATCACAATGGATCTACATGTTATAATATACATTAAAATGTTTGACTTTTTATGTATATATTATGGCATATTTGCTCAAGGCAAGAACAGTGCAGCCTGAGAAAACCATTGCTAGGTAACAGCTCTGTAATGCAATAATGGAGTAACTGTTGGAAGCGGCGCGTGCTGAGGCTATGTAACGATGACCAGCTGGCATTACGAGACTGTAATGAGACAGTGGAGATAGAAGAGTACGAGGTTGGTGTTAAATGGCCGCAACCCTGCGAGGACGTGAGCCCAGGAGCCGAGGAACATCCACCGTTGGAAGATGTTACTGATCAGAGCAGTGAAGATCGTGACTGGGAACACTAGTCATTGTATGACAGTGATTTGTGAAGTGTAGTGACAAGTTCTATGAGATTTACCTGAATATCTGGAAGTTTCTACCGGAGTGGCCGCAGTAGGGACAATTGAAGCACTGAAGGACCAGGCTGTGGACCGGAGTCTGGTTGTAAGGCGCAGCGGATGGTTGGCCTGCCGAGACAATCCTCGGCAGACCAACCGTCCGCTGCGCCTTACAACCAGGCATACGACCATCCAAGTGACTAGACTGCTGTGGTAGCAAATACTGCTAGAAATAGGGCATAATCTGCTGTACTGAGCCTGGACTGACCGAGGCCTTGTACATATATTGTACATAGAAGTAGGAAGTAAGATTAAATTTGTAAATATACGTATGTAAATACTGACAATGGACTTACTAATACAGGCTATGACTAACAAATGACAGACCTGACCTCTCGTCAGAGAGGGCGCCCAAAATGGACAGTAAAGTAACTTTCATATAAGAAGAAACATCTGGTCATGAGCCCCAGTTAGCTAAATTCTGCAAGACAAAATTTCACATTAAATAAAAATATAGAAAAAAATAGTCAATACAAATATATAAGCTGAAAATAATGAAAAAATTAATTATCAGTAGGCATCAAAATGGGACAAAAACATTGTTACTGTTGTTAATGTTTTTCTGAAACTCTTATGATCATAATTATTGTAATTGTTGTGATTGTCATTATTATTGTTGATGTTTTAGGGAAAATGATCATTCAGGCTCTCCCAGAAATCCCTACCAAAGGCCTAACCTTGGATGACTTGGATTCACTGGTGGAGAGAACAAGAAATGTGATGTCTGAAACATACCAGTCACTGCTCAGAGAAGTGATGGCGCAAGCACCGCCCAGCTAACCTGTCATTAAACCCTGACACTGCACTAGTTTTTTTGTGTGAATGGGCTGTATGGTGCAATAACAAATTAAAATCACGGTAAAATGAAGTTCAATAATTGCCATAAAAACAATGATATATGTTCCATGTCAAAACTGATGTCTTACACAATGTAGTAGACCTATTTTAGTGCAATGTGTGGATATTTAGTTAGTGTTTACCTGTTGAGTTCTGAGAGAGTATCACGTTTAATTTCTTTTCATATACTGCATCCTATTTGTATAATCTGACAGATTTATTTATATAGTCATCACACAAAATGACTGGTAATAATATTTATATTCTGTTGGTGCTTTCTATTTCCACCGTGTTTACCATCAGGTGGATAGTCACTACATAAGTTGATTTCGCGGTAGGTTAATTGATGTTATGTAGAGCTGGATCCATCGCTAAATTTATACAGTAATGTAGAGTACAGCTGTACCTTGAATTATGACTTCGTAAATTACGAAATTTCTGGACTCATGGTCACATTAGATTGACTCCCATTAGACTTGAAGGCAGACGGGCCTACTTAATGCAAGTTTACCAGGTGGAGCAGCTGTAACTGGATGCAGTGTAAAACTGTAAACTACGTGGTGCGTTCCATATATAATGCCTCCTATTTTTTGTGTTAATATGTAACGTCTGAGCTGGATGTTGGTGGTGTTGTAGTAAAGGTTGAACCTTCCCGCCAATGTACTGTTAATCTGGTTGTCGTGCGACAGATAGAGACAGCAGAGCAATCTACCTAAATGGCGTCTGACATAGAAGTGCGTATGAAAGAGAAATATGTTGTTGAATTTCTTACTGCCGAACAAATTGTATCCACTGACATCCATCGACACTTGCTAAAGGTGTACGGAGACAATACAGTGGATGTCAGCACAGTGATTCAGTGGGTAGTGCATTTCAACAGTGGCGAAAGTGAAGTGCACGACAAGCCACGCCATGGGCGTCCCTGCTCAGCTGCCACTCCTCACAATGAACAGCACCTCATCTGAACATATCAGCAGATAACGACCTGGGACTGTCAATTCTGAACGCTACAAGACGACGCTGACTAAGCTGAAAGCCCGTATTTCCCGAGTCAGGCCAGAGAAGCAGACAACCTTTCGCTTGCAACACGATAACGCTAGACTCCATACCAGTTTGGCGACCACTGCGCATATTGTAAAGTTTGGCTGGACTGTCCTACCACATCCCCCTTATAGCCCCGATTTAGCACCTTCAGACTTCCATCTCTTTGGGCCTATGAAAGACGGACTACGTGGGCAACATTTTCCAGACAACGATGCTGTCATTGCAGCTGTAAGAAAGTGGCTAGCCTCTGCTGGCACAGACTTTTACGGGCGCGGCATACAGGCTCTCGTTCATCGATGGCAAAAGTGCATAACGAATGGTGGTGATTATCAGGAAAAATAGCTGTAAGTAGCTGAAATCTTGCTCTATTTAACTGCGTTATTATGATTTCTGTATCTGTTGTAGTTTTCTTTTAAAAAAATAGGAGGCATTATATACAGAACGCCCTTAGTAGTAGGTATGTTAAAAACCCACTCTCCAATTCTCCCCATTAGCCTATGCAATACCTCTTCAGTAGATCTCTATTTTGATATTCAATTTGCCTGCATCCATAGTGCTGTCATTAATTAGTCCATGTTCTGTGTCCAGACCCGATGGAACATTTTGAAAGCTTATAACACAAAGCAAGATTCAACATCAGATACCTGCATTGTAGGGAGAAAGTAATGAGAAATCAAAGCAATCAGAACTTCTGTGACCTACAAGGTTTGGGGTTAAATGTCACACATATTTATGTTAAAAAGACTTCTGTTTTTTATTTCTAACTACACATTACATGTTTCAACTATAAACTATCATCAGATGATGCACACAAATCATTTAAAAATGTCATTACTTTAACAGCAAATTTATTAAAACATAAAAAATATAGAAATGTGGAGAGAATAAAACATCAGGTTGGATCCAACCTAAGTTTTTACATGGACATTATAAGAAATGAAACCCCCAGTTTTAACTTAAATATATTTGCTAGTTGTGCTGAACTTGAGGAATGTAATGTTTTGATATTGATATTACTTTCATTTCTGTTCACATGCAAATTGTAAACTTCAGTGGTCTTAGCTGGGAGGGCAACAGGTATATGGGTTCTGTTGCCTGTTGTTTGTAGTTTGAGCAAAACCCTGTCCCAAGTTACGCTCGATTTGCATATCCTGCTGTCGAGATTCGAACTATGAACCAATTTGATTCGGATTAGCCGATACCATGTGTGGTGACAGGGTTCAAAATCAGGTGCAGATGGTTTCAGTGACTGTCTTGGTGACAAGTACAGCAATTGGTTTCTCTGGCCATTGAAGGAAGGTTGGGAATAGTATTGATAGTGGTGAGGGTTAAGGGAATGTCAGCTGATTGGCAGTACAGGATTCTGCCAGATTGCATCCAGTTTTCAAGTCTTTGGATTTCGTGACAGTAATATTTTTACGGAGCAAATTTGTCAGCTTTGCATCAACCCCACCCCCCACCCTGGAGAACTAGGTCACTGTATTTATGTCTCCTAGTGACAGGGTGGCCCAGTTACTCTCCCAGACACCGGGTTCCCTTTTCGTCACCTTCTACAACTTGCAGGGCTAGGCTGGAGGTATTCTAATGTGCCTCCATACAAGGACCAAATATTAATCTCCCGCTCTGAATTTTGCTTGAAAAGTTGCATTTCTTCCTTAAAATTAGCTATCAGCAATTTTGTTTCGGCATGATTACTGTCAATAATTCTGGCTAGGTTTTTTAGCCCTCATGATTCGTGTGAGGTGAGGAATGAGCTATGGACTTTAACTAGCTGTTGTTGATTATCCTGAATTTCTTGTGATATCTGTTCCCTATTTTTCTGTAAAGGAGGCCTGCACTTGTTATAACAATGCTTGGAGATCTACATGAGGATGGAGGCAGTGTCCAGTTTAAATAAATAATAGGATTATGGATGCCCCAAAAGTCAATAATTGTCTTAATATACCATCATCACACACTTTTAAATGGTGGCCTTGATTTTATCACATACCTAATAATTTTAATGACTTTGTTCATTTTCTTTTTCACTGTAGCCTTCAATTATATGTACAAAGTGTACTAGCAAGACATTCAGCAACACAGTATTCCTAGAAGTTTCTTAGGCCACAAATGTTATGTGAAGGTGGAGAAAATTGTGGGAATCTTATGTGAACTTCATTACTAGTGTCTAAGCATTTTGGCTTCAAAGAAGATAAATTTGACCCCCTTCATTGTGTAAAGAAAGTGAACATTGAATTAGACATTTATATGCTGGAAATATGGGGGTCTTTAAGATAAAAGACCCATTTCACATGACTTGTTTTTCAATTAAGTGTTTTTTGCCATTTATATTTATAACTGTTAATGTGTATTGCATGGGAAGCTAGATGCAAATATTGCTAACCTAGTCTGTTACATAAGAATATATGAGGACTATTCAGATAGTAACCTTTGGTGTGCTGTTAACAAGACAAGTAATGAGAAAAAAATTATGTACTACAAAAAATACATATATATTTAATCTACTTCTCATCATAGACACTGCTGGAATTTAGCACTATTTGTATCAGGGAACAAGTTTTTATGCCTGTCAAAAAGTCTGCCACCTGTGAGTTCAGCCATGTTTTGGCACCTTCCTTCAGTTCCTCATTACTGTTGAAGTGCTGTGATCACAACCAGTTCTTCAAGCGATATGAGGGCTGCAAGAAGCGTCGCCAAACAACTCCCAGTCGAAATGCTCCAGCAATGCTCAAGTGCGAGCAGCTGTATGCAGGAACACTACACTGTAGGTCAGCATTCCACACCTACGCAGTATTTTTAGTGTTTCACGATACATTACACACCTGACCTCACAGATTGGAGACCTCTTTGACATGCATACTTGAACTTATTCCTCAGTATGAGAGGTGCCTCAGTTTTGGCGGTGACTAGATTGAGAAGTAGCGTGAATATGTATGTGGTTCTTTTATATAATAAAATTGTTTTTTCTCGTTGCTTGTTTCATTAACAGCTCACCGAGGCTACTTTCCTAATAGCCCTCATAAATGTATATTGTGTAAATAATTATACAAAAATATTAATTATTTTTTTAAATTTCACTGTTTTATTAATTATTTCTGAGATTTTTGATAGAAACCATGGCTGTCTGTGTGGAGTGTATTCATTAACTTTGACACTAGTACAAAAAACAGTTCAGAATTTCCTGTGGACAAGTGTTGCACAGTGCTTGTTCAGGATAAAATGTTGCAAACGTGTGCAATGAAGCGGATTTGCAACTTGTTGACTCACTGACTGACTGACTGACTGACTGACTGATTGATTCTTGGATTATTTAATAATCTTTTCTGAAGTACAGAGGTTACATAGTGTCAGATGGAACTGGAAGATAGTCATGAATGTCAGGTACGAAGATTCTGGAAGTTGTCTCTCTTTGCCTGTTTCAAGATACTGTCCTGACATTCACTTAGAGAGACCAAGGAAAATAGAAACAAATTTCACACTTGTCAGTGACCTAGCCAAAGTACAAACCACGTCTCTTCTGAATTTATATACAAAGTGTTACTGCTACACCTGCCAGCTTGAAGCTACAAACATGAGCAGACAAGATTTGAGCTTGTTTATTGTTTATGTCAACACAAATTTATGTTTGATTCTCTTAAAGGTCTGTGACAGTGGGTGATACATTACACCAATAACACAAATATGTTAGACAGTACCAGATCTAGGTATAAGCAGAAGAAGCCACAACTTAGAGCTTCAGCCATCTGAAGGGCCTCCAGTGAGAAGATAAATAATTAACAAGCTGAGGGAACATTCTCCTTTAAAACTTGGAAGATAACAAATGTCTCACTGCATGTTGTCCACATACATGCACACACACACACACACACACACACACACACATATATATATTTCTTCTTAAGTAGCCTCATTTTTATCACATCCTAGGGCCTCACAAAGTTGTAATCTAGCCCTGATGTTTGACACTATCAACTGTCAGAAGCATATTAGATACAAATGACATTTCAGAAATTGTCTTTATTCCCACTAAATTAAACTTCTACTTTGCTGGTTCTCCTGTTACTCTTTTCAGTAAACCTGTCCTATACAGATTCCCAGCATTCCATATTCCAAATCTCACTTCCATTTTCTGTTGCATAAGTGATCCCAAGAATCTGTTGAGGTTCAAGTTCAAGGCCGTATATAACATTTTGTAATACAGTGTATTTGAAAAGTGAGAGTTTGTCCAACCTGTGTGCCCTGTGTCCAACCCCCACACTTTACTGTAAAATTTTCACAGCTGTTCATTATATGTATATTTTTAGCTATCCTCCATATCTGGAAGCCATTTCCTCTACCCAGAACC